GATGTGTTCACCATTCCAGAAGCTCCCCCAAACCTTGCCATTCTGAGCTTTTTATTGCAGTTTCATTATATAGGCATTATTGATGAAATCACTGGCCACTGGTGATTGAACTCAATCTCCATTCCCTCTTCCCTCTCTGGGAGTTGGAGGATGGGAGTGAAAGTTCTAAGCCTCTACTCACCCAGTTGGTTTTTCTGGTGACCAGCCCCCATCCTGAAGCTATTTAGGCCCCTCCTCTTCATGAGGCATCTCATTAGCATATAAAAGACACTCCTATTACTCTGAAATTTCCAAGGGTTTTAGATCTCTGTGCCAGGAACTAGGGACAAAGACCAAATTTTGTGTGTGTGTGTGTGTGTGTGTGTGTGTGTGTGTATACACACGTATTTTTTAATACCACACTCATCCTTCAAATCTTGGCACAGAGTCACTTCCTCCAAGATACCATCCTTGTGTGTGTGTGTGTGTGTGTGTGTGTGTGTGTGTGTGTGTGTGTGTGTGTGTATACACGTATTTTTTAATACCACACTCATCCTTCAAATCTTGGCACAGAGTCACTTCCTCCAAGATACCATCCTTGAACCCCCAAACTAAATTGACTTCCCTTGTTCTTCTCTCCTATAAAACCATATTATTTTTCATTATGGTACTTCCTGCAATTTGAATAATGAGTGTTTACTTTCTTAATATCTGTGTCCTTAGACTCTAGGCTTCAGGGGGCCGGGATGCTGTCTCTTGTTCATGCCTAGATACACACATCCCTTTGGCCTCTAGCAGGTAGTCTGCTCAAATGTTTGCAGTAAGTAAACTAGACCTTCAGGAAAAGTGCAGAGTAATGAGGAACCATAGACACCAACCTTTCTCAGGGAAAAAAGCTAGCTTGCTTTTAAGGGGCTATAGAGTCCATATGCTAACTCAGATGCTGCAGTTAGAGGTATGCTATATTCTTGGAACATGTGTACTAAATAAGACGACCCTGCTGCCAAGTGAGGACTAGCCTCTTCTGCTGGAAATTCAGTCACTAGAAGACTGAATGACATCAGAACTGACCAGGGAAGCATCTTTAGGGACCACAAAATCTTGTGTAATAAACAAGGACAGATGGCATTTTTAACACTTCTTCCTTTTGGAGGTTGAATCTTTGGAAAAGAATACAGAACTTTGGATCTACAATGAGGTTACATCTCCATAAACCCATTGTAAGTTGAAAATATCGTAAGTTGAGTATGCATTTAATACACTTAGCTACCAAACATAGCTTAGCCTAGCCTACCTTAAATGTGCTCAGGCCACTTACATTGGCCTACATTTGAGCAAAATCATCTGACACAAAACCTGTTTTAAAATAAAGTGTTGATATCTCGTGTAATTTATTGAGTACTGTATTGAAAGTGAGAAACAGAATGGTTGTATGGGTACTCAAAAAACTGTTTCTACTGAATGCATATTTCTTTTGCACTATCATAAAGTTAAAAAATGGTTAAGTTGAACCATTGTAAGTTGGAGATGTACATTCTTTTCTTCTTTAAGAAAAATCTTTGAATGACATTGACAAAATATTAATAATTGTTGAGGCTGAGTAATGGACATATAGGAATTCACCAGATCGTTCTCTCTACTATTGTGTATGATTAAAAATTTCCATGATATAATTTTTTAAATGACATTTGTATTGAAAAATATAGAAAACAATTGATAAGAGGGATGGTAGTAGGATGAACACCAAATTACAGCCACACCTGTATCCAAATTAGTGGTAGGAAAGAAAAAGAAGGGAGGGGTATGAGGGAGTAATCTTTTCCAAAATGACTATTAAGTTCTTCATTGTATTTCCCTTAGGGGAAATCATGCACGTTATCGCTGTTGAGAGACAATTACTGTGTTAGTATGCTGTTTGTGTCACTTCTTGTAGCTGGTGCAGGTAGAAGGAACTGGGTAGTCGGTGTTCTCAGCAGGTCTGCGTTGAAGACAGAGGCTCCCTGGCACCCCCAGGGCTCAGGGGAAAGGGGCACAGACTTCTGTGTTAAGGGTAGTCCCAAGAGAGGCCTCTGAGTGACACAAGGGTCCTCACCTTGCAGTACTCAACTACAGCAGCAATCTCCTGACCAACTTAGAAGGTCTTCTCATTGGCTTCATTTTCTTCCTTGCGGACATGTGTTTATCTATTAGAATAAAAACAAAAAGCAGGATTATACATAGAAACCAAGACCTAGAAGGTTATATTCTAAAACTCTTCTCAATGTTGGGGTGCCCCCCAGGACTTTCTCCTCTATCTGTATTCACTCCCTTGGTGACCTCATCCAGGTTTATTGCTTCAGATACCATGTATGTGCTCGCTGATGACTCCCACGTGCCGTCTCCAGTCCAGACACAGCCCCAGCCTCCAGGCTCATATATCTGCCCAGGACAGCTCCCCTTGGCTGTCTGGTAGATGTCTCAGGGCTTAGTGTATCTAAAGTGGAACTCCGGATCTGTCATCTTCTACCTGCTCCACCCAGAGCCTTCCCTTTCTAGGTTGATGCCAAGTCCCTCAGGCCAAAAGCTCAGGCTTCTCTCTCTTCCTTCATATCATATCCAGATTCCAAAGTGCTTTTCACACCTCTGCTACCACCGCCCTGGTTTGAGCCACCATCATCTCTCACTTAGACTGCTGCTCTCCGTGGTTCTGCCATTGCTACCCTAATGGTCTTCTCAGCATAAGTTAAATCATGACACTTCTCTGCTCAAAAACCTACACTGGCTCCTTGTCCCACTCAATAAAGTCCAGTGCCCTTATAACACCTGCAGGACCTCAGGTGGTCTGCTCTCTACCCCTGCCCTCACCTCTATGCCTTTATCTCTGGCCTGACACCCCACTGCAGCCAGGCTGGCCTCCTGAAGTTCCTCAAGTCATCCCAGTCACGTCCTTGCCTCGGGCTTTGTACTCACTGACCCATTTGTCCAGGTGCACTTTTGCAGATATCCATAGCCATCTCCCATACCACCTCCCAGTCTTTGCTCAGAGGTCACCTTCTCAGGAAGTACGGCACACCTACTCTGGCCATCCTGCTCAGTGCTGCTGGCACTCCTGAGCCCCTTCCCCTTACCACCTTTGCGTAGCTGTAACATCACCTTTGGACAGGCTCTAATTTGCTTATTTATTTTGTTTACTGTTTGTCTCCACCTGCTGGATTGTAAACTCCATGGGAATAGTGATCTTTGTTCTGTTCATCCATGTATTCTGTGAGCCTAGAACAGGACCTGGCCCAGTAAAGTATTGATTAGAAGAACAATGTAGACTGTCAAGGAGGAGGAAGGATCGGCAGTGTTGGGACAACAGAAAGGCCCAGCAAGATAGGAATTGAAGGCTCTTCACTAAGTGATGACCCTGAGGGGCCATAGGCACTTTTCTTTTGTCAGGACAACAATTGGAGGGGTATGCACCCTTGTGCGTCTTGAGGAGGCAGTGGGCTGTAGGAGCCTTGAGGTTTCTATTTGTGAAAGGGCAGTTCTGTCATCCTAGCATTGTAGAGTGCCTTTCTCCGGCCCACCCCACAGGACTGTTTCAGGGTCTGCACTGAGGTGCTATTCACAAAGCTGACTGTCCTGCAAATGCGGAGCCCAACAGGAGGGTACCTCACACCCAGGGCAGAGGGCTTTGTATCTGCATGTAACACTATGGAAAAACATTCTGTAGCGAGCCCCTTTTATAAGTTAATGAGTAAAAATGCCAGTTTTAAGATTATCTATAGCAGTTATCTAAGAAGTTTATTTGTTAGGCTCATTCTTCCTTTTAACAGAAAGCTGTTCTCTTTGCTGCCACAGTAGCTTTTCAAATCATTCAACACCTGGTTACAGATGAGAATATTGGAATCATTTGCAGTTATAAGACCACTGGGTTATTTTCTTCTAATATTTTTAAGAAAGTTGTTGGCTTGAGTTTCAAATCATTATCTTAAATGTGTTTTATTTTATAAAATAAATATATATGTATTTACTTTGTAAAATATTATTGGATATATATTAATCATTCTACATAAATTTCTTCTGTTTCTTCTGTTTACCTCTTCCTTGTGAAAAGCTGATTGTTATTAACTTTTCTCATTTTCTTAGACTTTACCAGTAAACATTTGCTAATTCGATTAAATAGCATGCTTGTTATTTGTTATAATTATCTTAGAATTATTTTTCTTATTTGGAATGAGCCACAGTGGGGCATTTTGATAAAGGCACAGTGGGAGGTCAGGGCTCTCTCTGAGCACCTTGTAGAAACAGTACAGTCTTGAGGTCAGTCAGGAAGCTCAGCTTACCGAAGTCTTCTCACATTTTGCTTCCTAAGAACCAGGACATAGTTGTGAGGAAGCATCAGAAAAGAGCTAGGAGTTGGTATTTGGGGGATTGTTTTGCTGTCTGGCCTGAGGTGGGGATGGTGCAGGCGCTGGCTCTGGAGGCTGGGATAATAACTCAGTACTTTGCTCTCTCATAGTTGTTTCCTCTCTTTGCTCCTGGTGGCTGCTGTGGTTTGGAAGATCAAACAAAGTTGTTGGGCCTCCAGGCGTAGAGAGGTAAGCCTGAGCAGATAAAGATTAAAGAATTCCTGTAAGGGGCCGGCCGGTGGCACACTGCTACAGTGCGCCGCTTGGGAGTGTGGTGGCGCTCCCGCCGAGGGTTCGGATCCCACATACGGACCAGTTCCTGCTCACTGGCTGAGTGAGGGGCGGGCGCAGCGCCGAGGGTTGCGATCCCGTTGCCGGTCCGGTCCGGTGCAGGCGCAACACTGAGGGTTGCGGTCCGTTGCCGGACACGAAAAAAGACAAAAAGGAAAAAAAAAAAAAGAATTCTTGTAAGAACTTTATTTATTTATTTATTTTTTCTCTTAAGCAAGTCACTTTTCGCTGTTCAGTGATAACTGGTAGGTAGACATATCCACAGTAAGAATAATGCCACCTTTTCTGCAGTATAGGATTCTGCAGTACTATATGGTCAGTAGACTTAGATTAGTGCTGCATAAAGTGTAATTAATTCTGCATCGCAGGGTTTTAACTTTCTAAAAGGAAACTCTAATATTGACTTATATATGCCAGTTTTACCTTTACTACCAGAACACCAAGTCCTTGACTTGGGCAGGAGATCTGAGGGCTCATTAGCACAGCCACAGCCACCATTTGATTTGGCATGGTCTTCATAAGAGTCTTTCATAAGAATGAGAATGAAATCAGCCACTTAAGCTTCTCAAAAATTTCTCATTACTCAAGGAAAGATAAATGTGTGACTAATTAAATCTTTACTTGAGTTTTATTTTTTAATGAATCTTAATTTGTTTGCAGAGCTCCATTCCAAGAGTAGTAAGTCAAGCAAATATTTACAATTCGCAAATTCAAATAAATGAACTTGACTAAAAATTACAACATAAAAAATTTGTTTATAGCAAGTTTCACTTGCATCATTACTTTGCCTTTCATTTAGTCATCATGCCTGTTGGATTGTTACTAATAGAAATGCTCATATATATATATGATCTAGACTTAGATGCTGTCCTTGGTTTTCTGTATCTACTCATGCACTTTTCTATGTAAAAATTTATTTATAGATGATATTTAGAAGAGAATGAGAGTATCAAAAATCACTACTCAAGCACTCAACACTATTTATAGAACATTAGTGTCTGTAATAGAGTTAAGATAGGTTCCAGGACATGGGCCTCTTCCTGTGGGCCCCAACACCACTTTTTCTCACTCACATAGTTATTGTAAAGATATTGTCGCATCTTTATTATTATTTTGAAAATTCAGGGGATAACATTCACAGTGTTTTTAAATAGCTGCTACTGATACATTTAAAAGTGCCAGTGACCGATCCCGTGGCGCACTCGGGAGAGTGCGGTGCTGGGAGCGCAGCAATGCTCCCGCCGCGGGTTCGGATCCTATATAGGACTGGCCGGTGCGCTCGCTGGCTGAGCGCGGTGCGGGCGACACCACACCAAGGGTTGTGATCCCCTTACCGGTCACGAAAAGACAAAAAATAAAATAAAATAAAAATGCCAGTGAATTGTATGATGTTCTGAAAAAGGGCTGAGCGCGGTGCGGGCGACACCACACCAAGGGTTGTGATCCCCTTACCAGTCACGAAAAGACAAAAAATAAAATAAAATAAAAATGCCAGTGAATTGTATGATGTTCTGAAAAAGTATACATTATCAAAATGGAGTAAGAAAGAAGTAGGGAGCCACAATAAACCAGTAACTGGGAAAGGAACTGAAAACCTGTTGAAGTATTACTCTCTGCAAGAAGGGCATTAGTCCCCGGGAGTTTCAAGATTGCAATGAGCTTATGGAAATAATCTCAGCCTAATGGGTGCTGTCATTAATGATGATGATAATGATAAGCCTTTGGGTGCTTATAAGAATTAATTATTTCTGAAACCTATAAACTGTTCCAGAGCAAAGGAAAAAATGGAAAGCTCAAAAGATTTCCTAATTCATATTATTTATAGAAACCTTGATACCAAAACCTGACAAAGGTAGCACCAAAAAATAAAGGCCAGTCACATAATGCATGTATATGCAGCAGTCTAATTGCCATTCTAATAACAGGATCATTTAATATCAGAAAACATATTAGAGTATATATCAGTGGATGAGAAATAACACCTAAATTCTTAATAGAGGCCGAATAATTATTTAGTCATTTATTAAAATTCAACATCCATTTCTAAATTTTAAAAAAAATTCTTAGTAAACTCAAAGTACCTTTTTAACACTATGAAGAATATCTAGATAACCAGCACCACCTGTGGTGAGAAAACACTATAGGTTGTACCATAAAACCTAGCCAAGTTAGATGTGATAAAACTGACATTTGAGCACTTCTAAGTTCTAGGCACTGTTCTAAGTGGTTTTACATGGGTCAACTAATTTAATCCTCAGACCAATCCTATGAAATAGATACTGTCACTAGCCTTGTTTTGTAGATGAGGGAACTGAGGCTCAGAGAGGTAAAGCAACTTACCCATCATCCCACAATTACAAAGAGGAAGAACTGGGCTTTAAACTAGGGTCTTTTGTCTTCACAGTTTATGTTCCTAATCATCATGAAGTCTACAGTCACTTCACTTTGTTCTGGATGTTCTAGACTGTACACAAAAGAGAGAGAAACAAGCTTTTTTACCATTGGAAAGGAGACATAATTATTGTTTTCATTTAAGGTTATTGAGACACAGTATAGTAGAGATTTGCCTACATAAAAAATAATACTTAAGTATATAAAAAATAAACAAATGACACAAAAGATAAACAGTCAACTGGTAATTATTTGCAACACAAGTAATTTTGTGTTGAGAAAGAAAATAAGGAGAAAAGAACACCCTGTGGGGGAAAAAAAGGTTAAAAAAAAGTATGCTTAGTATGCAGTTCATCTGCTAATGAACTAAGATTTTACCCTTGTGATTTGGAATTTCTCTGAAACTGTGAACCTGACTTTTCAGAGTATATTTCATCATTTCTAAAGTGTCAGTCATGATTTACGCCCCTCAAAATTGTAGAAGAAATGATTTGTTGTTATTTATAACAACAATAATAGTAGCAGCTGACACTAAGTCCTTGCTACAGACTCCAGCACTTAGAATAACTGAACCCACCTTAGAATAACAAATATATGTTGCATGTATTTGTTGAATAAATAGACCAACAGCTTTATGAAATGTAGGAATGTTATTATTGGTATTTTAAGAAAATTTTTAACATAAAAATGCCCTTCTAGAACAGAACCATGATCTATTTAACCCAAGATTCTGTCTCATACAATAGTTCCAAGGAGGTTGTTTGAAGTAAAAGTATTTGTCTCCCACGGCATAACCTCAAAGCTTCAAAAGCAAGCCCAGAAGATCTCTTAATATCCTAATGATATATGAATGGCCATTCACCATGTGCTAGGCACTGTGCAATAGCGTCTCATTTGATCCTAATGACAATCTTATGGAATAAAAACACATTTCAGAAAGGAAGAAGCTGAATCGCAGAGACTTTAACCACCTTTCTTTTTTTTTTTTAAAGATGACCAGTAAGGGCCGGCCCGTGGCTCACTCGGTAGAGTGCGGTGCTGA